TTGCATCAAATAATCATTTCTGAACATCCTTGCCATTCTGTTTGCAAATACAGTATTTCAGGTCCACATAAAATATAAATTATTAGAACCCAAACCTTGGCTATAGATTAAACATGTAATTTCATTTCCCCAGTTGTCCAGCCGACATTCCAAATTTAAGCAGTAGACACAGAAATCTACTTAGTGTTGTAAAAACTTACTGCTCACAGCGGTAATAGACTTTTATGAATTTGTTGTTGTTGTTGTTGTTGTTGTTGTTGTTGTTGTTGTGAGGTGATGTCTTTTTCCCTTATAATCTATGAGCTCTTTTCTGTTCCCTCAGTTTCTATGATTTTTTATGTTTGCTTATCACAGTCCCTTTACTCCATTGTTAGGCCTCCCATGGACCTTTGTTACAGTTCCTATGCACTTTTAGTGGGCGTAATGGTGATTATCCTGTGAGTGTACTCCCTGCTGTTTTGTCTCCCCACACCAGATCAATACTGTGTGATGTTGCTGGAGTGGTGGCAGTGTAGTGTTGGGGTTGTGTCCTGGTCGACATGTGGGACTGTGAGTAAGGGAAGACTTATGCATGTGTGTTCCACATTTCCCTTGTATTTGTGTCCTGTCAGTGAGCAGCAAAGAAACCATGCATTCAGTTTTAATTAGCAGTACTTGTTCCATTCATGTAGCTAGAAAGTGGGGATTTGTAGTAAAGCAGGAGCAGTAGCTGTGCACGTTAGAAAGATGAAGTGCATAGTAATCACAAAGCTTCACAGATTTTGGGCTGAACGGATCCTGGTTTTGATTTTGTTAAAAGATATGTTCTTCCTGGTTAGGACTTAAATAATTTGTAACAAAACAAAGTTCGGACAGAAGGATTTTTGCTTAAATAAACAAATTGCTCTTTTTTTATACTAGTATATATATCTTGATGGGTAGATGTACTTATTTCTCAATTTATATTGCGCACTGACATTGTGGACTTTGTTGTCTGTCAGGTTATGGGTTCAGATTCTCAGAGATAAAACTCAGTGTGTTTATGTGCATAGACTATGATTCTAAGAATAATTATAAATGTACAGAATTGTTTAGTGATTGGGAGTGGTTGATGCCAGTAAGTAAGAATTTGAAGTAATGGCACACAGTTTCTGTAGGCCATCAATTGTGACTTCATTTTTGTGATCAGTGTTGAAATTTGTATTCTGGACATGTACATAGTTACAGAAATCCTGCCAATAGGGCATTTGTTAGCAAGTGTCTTCTATACTGTTTTATGCTTTGGGTTTGCTGTTTTTACTTCTACTTGAAGATGGAGGTTTTAGGTCATAGTAGGAAAATTATTAATGGTCATATCTGCATGACTCTTTGAGTGATGGAAGTACAAGGAAATAAAGGAAGTGAGGGAGAAGAAAAAGAATGGGTTTGTAATCTTAAAGTTCAACATTGCCATCGAACCCTGTTCTCAACCATTTCACTGCAGCTCCTGCTTGTGTAGGAACCGTTTTAATATTTTCCAACATTTGTTTTGGCTTTGCACGCTTCCAGTTTCCAAGAAAATTCTCATGAACTTTTTGTTCCCTCATCTTTACTGCTTGCCCAATTCCTTCATATAAATACTGTAAAAGTAATAAAATAGTGTTAATTAAATTAACACTTGATGTGCCATTAGTTATTTCAAGTAATGTTATTACACAAAAGTTATAGAGACCTAAGCGCCTATTTTGGCATGAAGGATCCAGACAGTATGTCGTAAGTCATAAAAGTACTTTCCTGGTGCTTGTTGCTTATGAAAGTAATGCTGTGTAAAGATAAACCAAATTTAATTTTTATGACAGTAATCCATGGCCCAAAACTAGGTGAAGGGAGTATACTTGGTTATTTTGTCAGTATCCATGAGATAAAAAGCATGTAAGGAGCAAATTTCTTTTGGCAAGAGCAGTCAAGTGAAACTAGTGTGGGCAAAAATTAGTAGACTGGATTTTCTGACATGATGCTTCTGAGAAAAGTAAAGTAAACTTAGACATAGAAAGCAGAGAGGAGGAGAGGTGTTTGTTCCTTACAGATATATTTGCCATATATATAATGCAATATTGTACCTCTGAGTATGAGCCCTAAAATTTAGGATCGTTCCAGCATATCTGATGGTATGGAACAGAGAGTTTTCTTTTTGGAAGAGTCTTATGAAAGTAGTGTGGAATCAAAGGGGACAGTAATATGAGGAAAATTGTGTGTTGTGAATGGTTCCTTGTAGAAACAGCTTTGTACAAAACTGAAGATCCCCCCCCTCCAATAAAATAATGTAGCTCTTGGGAGTCACATGAAATTGTAATTTAATTTAATTTTTTCTTATATTCAAGTAGATCCAATTACAGGGCGAGAAACAAGTTGACACACCACTGGATATAGAATACGTCAAAAATCAAAACAAATGTTCCAACCAATCACTGGAACAAGTCAAAATAACATAATATAAAAAAACACAGACAACACAGTCACTAAACATAATAAAATGTGACTACCACAGGACTTAAATACTAGATGAAAACATATTAACCATTTATCTTATAACATTCATCCAGTTTATAAAAACAATGCATATGAATGGCTATTATCAATAAACAATACAATATCAAATAAAGTATGTTAGTCCATGATTTATTTTATCCGTCTTCTAGTGCATACATTCATCTATCCCCTCCTCTCACTCGCACTACATGTTTCGGCACTAGAAGACGGATAAAATAAATCATGGACTTAAATCAGTGCAACAGGACGCTAAAATATAACATTAAAGTATGTTACATCACTTACATATCAAAAGAAAAACTCTAAAAACATCTAAAATGGAATGGTATGATATAGTTCATCAAGAACACTTTGTACCTATGTAAATGCTATATAGTGTATTAAATGTGATTTTCAGTTGTACTGGAGTATGTCAACCTGATGTTTTACATTTCCTGTCATATAAGCGGGTACTGTTTGGAGTCCCTTTTCAGTTTATTTTTTTCTGCTATGATTGCAGATTGTACTTTTAATTTTCCTCTGTCTACATAGTTTATAGAAGTTTGAACAGTTCAAACTTAAACATTTTTGAAGATGTTTGCTATTTGAACAGTTAGCAAGGAACTGATGATGCCAACATCAAGAATGCGTGTTAAGTGTCCTCATTTCAACTAAAGAGAATACAGGATGTCAGAAATTTACACTGAAGGAGCAATGATGTGGTGGAAAGAAGGGAAGGGGTAGATTAGATTGTAGTGGTCATGGGTTTGTAACCAGATAGGTTTAGGACAAATATAACATTCAGAAACATGAAACTACCATATTTACGCATGTATAGGCCACAGCACAATTTTCAGACAGAAATTATAGAAAAAATAATTTTCTTGGAATATTATTTCAGGAGTAGAACACCCTGTATTACTAATTATGAATATAATTTTTTTTAAATGAAGTGTGATTTCGAATATAAGCCGCACCCCAGTTTTCCTCTTGAATTTTTGGCAAAAAATGTGCGGCCTATACACGCGTAAATACGGTATTTTTGTTATGAGGAATGGAAAGGAGTAATAAAAGCAGAAGTCTCAGAGACATGTTTGGAGGCATGAATGATGTGAATAAGGATATGAACTTCAGGTAAACTTGGTGAAGAATGAATATGGTGACACATTTCATTCTAAATAGTGAACTACCAAATATTAATTAAGCTAGCGAATTTAATGGCTGAAATTTGATAAAATTGAAAGATAATTTTCCATGTCTCATTTCTAGAGGAATTAATATATGCAGGTGGCTAGTCACTGCATTTAAAGTGATTCATAAACTTAACACTTTTCAAATGGAATAATTATCATGAAACTGGATAGGCTGTTATTGTCACTATTTGAATTCAAAATACCAAAGAAATGTGTCGGATAATTAAAATTAATTATTTTTTTTTATTGCTAGTGGGGTGGCGCAAAGTCCCTTATAGTGCGGCCTATTGTACCAGTCCCAGATGATAGGTGAGGTTGATTATGGAGCAATTGGTGGAATGAAGATTGGCAGGGGAAACTGACGTACTCAGAGAAAACCTGCCCCAGCATCACTTTGTCCAACACAAATCCCACTTGAACAGACCTGGGATTGAACCCGGGCCTCCGCGGTAGGAAGCCAGCGACTAACCACTTGAGCTATGGGGCAGCCCTAATTAAAATTAGTGTGTATGAGGCAGTCAGTGGAATCTGTATTTGTAAACATATGTATGTTCAGTGCATTCTGAAATACAGTTGTGTAAAGTGGAGGAATGCTTATCCCCAATTGTCTAAGACAGTCACAGATAACTATATATGCTGATTTGTACATAACAGAAATGGCCTGTATTGATGGGGAATGATGAAAATTGTGTTATAATGTGTATCATCTTTTTTCAATTCTTGTTAGTGTACTTGGATGGTGGACTGGCCATGGAGCCTGAATGGAAAGAACAAATCAGAAAGTGACAACTCTGAGATTGAAATGGACATATGAGGGTAATGATTTTAAGGAAAGAATTTTTGGTAATGTGGTTTGGATTGGATCCGGATGAGGTTCATTGGACATGAGAACATGCAGTTAGTTGGTTGCATATTGTGTCCTTTTGAGACACATCTCCTGACTTCCTGTGGGGTATTTCACTCTTGTTTTACAGAATGGTGTTGATAAATATGAGGAATGAGGAAAAGTTTTTAGTAGTGTTATGTATGCAACCATGAGCTACAGCTGACTGAAGCATCAGCATTCAAATGGGGAAAACAACTTCAGGGGTGTGTGATATTTTTGTATATGCTGGCCACTGTTTTTACGTAATTGCATAATGACTTGCGAAGTCATATGCTTTCACAGTGTTCATATCAGTAACAGTATACAGTTATCTGTTGAAATTTGTACAGGGACATATTCCAACAATTATTTTGGTGTTTTGTTAACAGAAGTTGTAAGCAGAGTCCTGTTTATCATTTAAGTGGCAGTGTCTTATGTGTGAAATTTTGTTTCAGCCACCATGTTCCTGAGTACACTAACACCAAAGTTTTATGTGGCCCTCACTGGAACTTCATCTCTCATCTCAGGACTCATTTTGGTAAGTTCACAAAACATTGGAAATATATTCACATTAAATATTAATTTCGTTCAGGGCACATGGCATCGTAGTTTGTTAAAGCACTATGCTACAAGCTGGAAGGTCGCGAGTTTGAGTCCTGATGAGGTGAATTTTTTTCAGTTGACCTAACCTTTCCAGCCACACCATGGCCCTGGGGTCAACTCAGCCTCTAACAGAAATGAGTACTAGGAATCTTCCTTGGGGGTACAGGGCAGCCGGCGCATATGTCTGACAACCTCACCGCCATCTGTAAGCTGATTGTCTAGATAATATGGGACCCTCAGTGTCTCACAACCCTATGGGCCTCCATGGCCTGTTACAGGAATAGCTTTACCTTTTTATTAACTTAGTTAAACATGTTCATGTTAGTAAAATCATGTTATGTCCTCAGATTGTGGGTAGTGCAGACAACCTCCAGGTATGCAAGTAAAAGGTAGCTGTGAATATATTGAATGAACAGTCACAGGCGACAGAAGGTGGTCCTTCATCTTGGAGCTTTGACAGTGGGGCTTACAGCTCACTGTAAAAATACCAGCATATTATGAAATGTCATACAGGCTCTTGTGAACATGGTAATGAGCCTTGAGGTTCCATAAATGGCAGGGAATTTACTGACTACTGTTTGCAGGCAGTATTAGCTTTGCAAGGGTTGCATATCTTTGAACTTCTTATTTTTAACTTTTCAAATTTATAGTATGGCTATTGGACTAAATAGAATCTGTCATGCCATGTTCGATGTGTCCCTAGTTACCACAGCATACCATGTCCTCAGGTTGCAGAAGGATGAGACGGCCTCCAGATATGGAAGGTAGCGCAAATATATTGAACATCCAGTTGTGGACGGCCAAGAAGGGGTGGTCTTCAGCTTGTGGGTTTGGCCTGGGGATAACAGCTCCTCTCCATAAAAATAAGCTTGTTATGAAATGTACAAAGGGCCTTGGAAAGTGGAGGACCCTTGTGAATATGGTAATAACCTTCAGGTTCCATGAAATGCTGGGAAGTTTTTAAGTAGCTGCACAATTGGCGGCTCCTCAAGAAGAGCTTGGCTCCATGACGTCGGGCATGTGGACGGTCGGTCAGTCAGTCAGAATTTGGCATGAGCCCTGATCTGTATGTCACATCTCTGCTGAAACATGATATGATTTTTGGATGATTTAAAATTGAAATTGGTACACTGAAGCAAAGTGTGTCCATAAATGAACAGTAGACTTTCAGAGTTGACCTGTCACTTGCCTCAGCTTCCCTTCACACCATTCTTATATGTCTCACGTTCTCCTCTCATCATGGTTTATTTGTAACAGTCACCTGCTTTCTCAGCTGTCGTTGAATGAACGGCCAGAAGTAAAGTGTGAGCTGTTGAGTGTTTCACCGCTTTAGTGTCAAGGCCTAGAGACTTGCATATATCCATTGCTTCCTAATACGGTCCTACTTAGAGTAGGCCCATGGTCTTATTGTGGAGGATGTGAATGTACATTTATTTAAGTGAATGTGCCTGATATTATGTGACAACATCATCTAATACAAAAGTATGTTGTTTTATCAAGTTTGCTGTTGCAAAACTATGGTAATAAAATCATTAATTAATACCTACATTTCTTTACATATGGCACTGTGAGTTTACAGCTTTGTGAGGTACAGCATTTCTCTGCTTTGATTATCTGTGAGATACTAAAAGATGATGATCATATTTTGCTGTGTCTGTGGATGAAAGGTGCTGATAACTTGCTGATCTGAGAGATGAAAGTATATTGGGAGCCATGCCTTATAAAAAATATAATTAACATAAAAAATAATGTTGATATTTCCTCCAGCATTTCTTCTGCAAAAATTGGAAACAGAGTAGGTCATATAGATTGTAGCAGGATATAAGAAAATCATTAAATGTATAATTAACTAAATCCTTGGGCTGCTAGGACATGCATAGCAGTTCAAGAAATTCCCTGTTTGTGTGGTTTATCAGAATTTTTACAATTCCTGTGATGACCATCCCCTGAACCACCTCTGAATCCTCAAAACCTAATTACAGAACAAGTTGACTAAAGTAGCAGTCCTTTTGACGTACTTGGGAGGTGCCTGGTTTGCGTTTCAACTGGAGCACGGGCTCTTCTAGCTCAGGTTTTTCATGGTTTTCCTGTTTCCTTCCAGCTGAATATTCTATAGGCCATGACTGCTTCCTTCCATGCCCTCTCCAATTCATTATTCACCTGGGTTGCCCCACTCAACAGATGGGGACTGATAAAATGATGCCGAGACATCTGTGACAAACCCCTGATGGTCAGATTTCCTTACAGAGGTGAATGGAAAGATAGGTTTCAACCCAATAGGAAAAGGAGACTAGCCTGATATGCAGACACTTCCAAGATAAATGAATGCACTGGGGCTGGGGTGTATGGTTATGGTATGAGGAAGAAGCTCAGCTCAGCTTCAGCCTGGGACAGTACACCACAGCATTCCAAGCATAAGTTTATACCATCAAAGCATGCACAGTAGAGAATCTAGGTATGGTCTGTAGAAACAGAAACCTCTCTATTCTCTCGAACAGTCAAGATGCAATAAAGCCTTTGACAAATACTAGCTCAACTGAAAACTGGTTTGGGACTGTCATCAATCCCTAATGAAATGTGCTAAACATAACAGAGCTCAACTGATATGGGTGCTGGAGCACATGGGTATTAAGGGTAATGAATCTGCTGATAAACTGGCAGAATTGGGTTATGAATGTCCGCTCATAGCACCTGAACCATCGTGCAATATTTCAGCAGGAACTGCCAAGAAGGCTGCAGAGACTGGACAGACAAAGACCATAAAATATAACAGTGAGTCCCTAAGAGGACTCAGACAGGCAGAGGGATTCTTACAAAGATCCTCTGTCAGAAGAACCATGGAACTGTTAGTAATAAACACAAGTCTCTTCAGAGTGGGGTCAAGGATAGTCCCATTTGCAAAAGGTGCCTAGAAAAAGATGAATGAGCCACACATATGCTATGTAACTGTGAGGCTGTAGCTTACTGAAGGTTTCACCACCTGGGTCATTACTTTTTGGAGCCAGGTGATCACCAAGATGCCCCTGTAAGTAAAATACCACACTTCATTTGAAGCATAAGATTGTTGAAGGGCTGAAATAGAGGTTGATACACAAAGACTGTTGTGGATCATAGGGCAATGGCCAGGCTGGGTCTATCCCTTTTGCATTCATTAATTCAGCAGTCACCCTGTTCATTATTGTATAGTCTGAGATTCTGACAGCACGACTAAGTAAACCACAAATAAATGTGTTACAAACTGCTACTCATCCACTTTAATGTTATCATTCCATTTGTGCCTTGGTCTTCAAACATTTCCAGGTAATTGTATACAGTTGAATGTTACATATGAAGTTATTAATTTCAGATATTTGAGTGGTGGTACTTTCGCAAATATGGCACGTCGTTCATTGAGCAAGTGTCATTGAATCATATCAGTCCATGGATTGGCGGGGGTGATAATGGCGGGGAAGCAAATAATGTTGCAGCAAATGCCAGTGCCACAGCCACCAATCAGCAGGCAGTTCCAGGTGAGAATATCCATGTCACTTTTTTTTAGTTGTTGACAAAATTTTGTGTAGTAATAAGTTTCCTAGTGATTATGGAATTGTTCAGTATCAGAAATGCAGAATGAGTTATCAGAAAATCTAGTAACTTTCTCCCATTCCTTGGTGTGTCCCATCAGTGTCCTGTTTTATAATATGTAATGTTTACAGATGACTTTTTAAAACGTATTTTGCAGCAGTTTTCAGTGGATGCATTTGGAGATCATCAAGGAGGGTGGGAGGGACATATATGTGGTTTTATTTAAGGCACTGGTACTACTGCTAATTTTGAAAAGAAAGTAATGTCAGTGTGCTGGATTAGAGGTCTCCTAAGATATAATACCATGTATCCCAGTAGAAGTGCACTGACAGTTCAGAGGAACATCAGTGGACTTCCACTGGACTACACAGTGTTATATCCCACAAGACAGTAGTCTTCAGCTTCACTAAATCTGTCTTCTTAAAATGACTGTGTCAGATTCAGCTTTGTTAAATAAATTATAAGGTGCAAACATGTAAATGTGGAACTAAAAAAAAGTGTTAATTAATTCATTATCTCATACAACATTCATCATATGTTTCCACAGTGAAATACCAATGTAATGTTCCCGCATTTATTGAAATGCTGTTTCATTTCATTTCATTTATTCACCTTCCATAAATCCTGTCGAGAGTACATTCTCATGCAGATGTGGAGATCGTCCTTGTTACAGTCACAACAAAGGTTACAGTTGTCATCCAATAGCATGTACATTTGTATAAAATACTGATAAACATATACAGTATAATGAACAAGTTAATTTTAGTAGTAAAAGTAACGGCAAACCTAATACAATTTGTACAGTTTTATGCAAGTCTAGTAATTAAAAATTCAATAGTTAAAACATAATGTCATTAATGAGTTTTNGTTTTATGCAAGTCTAGTAATTAAAAATTCAGTAAATAAAACATAATGTGATATGTTGCGCAAAGGAGAACCCCCCCACCAGCAGTGACGTGGCNGAGACTAGTATACAGTAATATAAAAATTGTATATATCTAAAATAAGCATCTAAAAGCCAGAACACAGACTGACCACCTTGTCTTCTTTTAATTGTAAAGCAAGACAACTACTCGCACCTTAAAAAGATTTATAACCAAAATATTCCTGTAAAGAATGAAAAGAATGTAAATATAAAAATTGTTTTAATTGTACCTCAGAACTGTTTGTGTCACTTGATATATCCTTGATATATTGTGGTAGATTATTCTAGACCTTTGTTCCTAAACAGTAAACTCCCTTTTGGTATTTACTCAAATTTACAAGAGGCTGATGGAGATTATTTTGCTGTCTGGTATTTATTCTACGAATCTCTGAATTTGCTATGAATTAGTTTTTATTTTTTATCACAAAGGGCATAAGAGGTAGTATGTACTGAGATACCAGAGGTAAGATTTCTAATTCTCTAAATACGTTCCTGCACGAATCCCTCCTTCTGCGTCCCAACATAATTCTAATTATATTCTTTTGCATTCTAAAAATTGTTATACTTTGGGTGAGTTACCCCAAAAGGGTACACCATAATTCATAATATAATTAAAATAAGAGTGATAAACCATTTTTAAGGTATTTATGGACGTGTGTGGTTTAAGCGATCTTATTATGTAGTAGACTGCGCTTAGTTTAGAACTAGTATACTCAGTGTGGTATTTCCAACTCATGGTGTCATCAATGTAAAGTCCAAGAAATTTAATATTGGATATAGATGTAATCTGTTTTTTATCATATACAATTTTTATTTCTAGCTGTAAATTGAATGTAGTGGGTTTTGTTAAAATTTATAGAAAGTTTGTTTACTTTGAACCATTCATTTATACTATGAAAAACATTGTTTATATTTACACAGAGATCATCATAGTTTGAACTTTTAACTAACTAGTGTCATCTGCAAATAATATAGGTACAGTTTTATCATTTATAGTTTTGGGTAAATCGTTTATATAAATGAGGAATAACAATGGACCCAGAATCGAACCTTGCTGGACACCATGACTAATTTTGCCCCATGTCGAAAATTCATTGAGATTAAGATTTATATTAGTAATTAAAACCCTTTGATATCTATTTCTGAAATAAGATTCAAGCCATAGTTTAGCTTTACCCTTTATCCCATAGAACTCCAATTTTGACAACAGAACCTAATGAGTAACACAATCGAAGGCCTTTTCTAGGTCACAAAAAATGCCTCCTATTAAGTTTTTGCTGTTTAAGGTCTTACAGATTTCATTCACTAACTTGTATATAGCCTCATCTGTTGAAGATTTTGTTCTAAAACCAAATTGTTCTTCCACTAAAATGTTATTGTTATTTAAGTGCTCAATCAATTGAATGCTCATAGCTTTTTCTAATACCTTAGAGAACGAAGTTAAAAGTGATATAGGCCTATAGTTGGAAATATTTGTTTTTTCACCCTTTTTAAACAGTGGTCTTATTTCTGAGTATTTTAAACGATCTGAGAAAATTCCTTGTGATAATGAATTGTTGCATATGTGAGTCAAAGGAGAGCTAATGAAAAGGGAACTCATTCTTAATACTTTAGTGGATATTTCATCATATCCATAAGAGTTTTTTGCTATGAGAGATTTAATTATATTTTCAACTTCCATAGTTGATAAAGATTTAAGTTTAATATGTGGAAAGGGATTTATAAAAGTTTTCATTAAATACTGAATGGGAGTAGTGTCTGGAAGGTAAATATTAGTATTATTTTATTTTTTGCATTTTTATTTTCAGCTACAGATAAAAAGTAATTGTTAAGTTTCCACAATTACATGCATTTCTCTCATCCATTTTCCATCCACCTTTAATGTGCATATTTTTTCATTATTTGGCCCCTTATTAGTTTCTAATTTTACTATATCCCATATGGTTTTATTTTTATTTTTGGAATTTTGAATTTAATCATATTTTAGTTTTTTTTAGCTTCCTTAATGACCTTAGATAAAATTTTACAGTATTTTTTATGATAGTTTCTTAATTCTGAATTATTACTGTTTCTACATGCCATATAGAGTACTCTTTTACGTTTACAGGATGTTTTTATTCCTATAGTAATCCAATCACTTATTTCATTTGAAATTTTAATTTAATTTACTGGAATGGTAAATTTTCAAGTAAATGTCTAAGAAGGAGTTAAGCATTATATTAACATCATCACTAGAAAATGTTGAGTCCCATGTTTCATAACTTAGTTTAATTAAAAAGTCATTTATTGTGTGTTTGTCTATTTTCCTTATTATTTTAAATTGTTTAGAATGTGTTCTCATGTTTGTTGTTTTAAATGTTATGGATTGTGCATCATGATCAGACAATCCATTTATTATAGGCCTTACAGAATAATTTTCCCTTCGAGTAATATCGATGGAAATATTATCATTGGCTGTAGCAAAATTTCCTTGAACTCTGGTGGGAAAATTTATCGTACTTATTAAATTATAAGTTTTCAATAAGGTATCTAACTTGTTTTTCTTCTCACTATCAAGAAGGTAATTTATATTAATATCCCCACAAATAATATATTCTTGTGTTGAGGTATATAGGTTTCTAAGTACTGTATCTAGTTTTGTTTTGAATGTATTAATGTGTCCAGTCGGAGCTCTGTATATTTTAATTATACACAGAGTGTTGGAGCTCAGGTTTAACTTAACAGCACATACCTCAAAATCTTTTTCTTTACAATATTTTTTTAGGTCTATATTTACAAATTTCAAGCTTGTGCGTAGATAGAGGCATACTCCTTATTTTTCTTACAAGGTTCTACAATAGTTTGCTCCTAGTTTATAAGAATCTATGTTTAACTGTTGTAATTCCAAGAAATTCATGTAATGTTCTGTAAAACATAATATGTGTGGGGAGGCTGGGTGTAGATGACTTAATAGCTCATTTGCTTTCCCCCTTAAACCTCTAATGTTCTGATGGAAAATATTTAAGAATTTGATATCGTTTTATTTTTTGGTTACTCCATTTAAGGAAATATTTCTTTTTGGAGCACCTTTCTTTTACCATAAAAAATCCTTATTTTTCATACCTGGTAGTTTTTGAAGTCTATATGATTTGCATACTGGTTCATTTTTTTGCTCTGTAGTTGTTTTTACTAAGTCATTCATAGCTGGACACTTGTTAGCTTGTAGATTTGCATTATAATTTTCAGATTCCTTCCAGAGCAAGCAAATGTTCCTGGGTTGAACATTTCTTTTCCCACCTGTCTTCAAGGGTCCATTTGTTGGTGGAATATGAGCCCCATATCTCTTCTAGCTCTTCTTCATTCTTCCCTTTCATTATAACTGGGTCAGACTTTTTGTCCCTCCACATATCCAAAATTTCTTTTGCTATTCTTTTTACTGTCTGCTCCTTACCTCTTGAATTCATATGTAACCCATGTTTAGTAAACGAGTCTCTTTCGGATTCTATCTCTATAACACGTGAAGTTCTGAAAACCGTCATATTTTTTTTTAATTTTCTGTTAAACCTTTTCATCTCATCATTTACACGTGATTTTTGCTCCAAGTCATGTCTATGTGGTAGGTTCATGACTAAAACGTTTGTGTTAGTATTCTTGTTTACAGAGTTCCTAATTTGGATCAGTCCCTTATCAGTCTCATTTCTGCTGACATCCTTAGTACCACCCCACACAATCACCAAGTCCTTTTTAGAGAAGTCCTCAATATCACTCACACCTGAAGTTAAAATTGTTGCTAGATCTGCACCAGGTTTCACTAGTCCTTGAACACTGTATTCCACATCTAAGTTATGTTGTAGTTTAGCCGCCATTTCCCTCAAATGACTATCACCAAGAAATAAAATCTTGTTTCTTGGATTCTGAAGATTATCCTCTTTTCTTCTAACCTTCCCACTTGTTTGTTGAAGAGTTACCTTTTTGAATTCAGGCTCTTTGAGATTTGACAGCACTTCGAAGCGGTTTGCGATTATGGTAGACTGGTTATCT